ATAGCAGCTTGCATTGTTTTCTTACTTAGAAAATGGTAGTCATGCCAGTAACACAGGCTCAAACCTATCATCCTAGTTACTTGTGAAGGCGAGATTGGAAGACTGCAATCTAGCTTGAACAAAAAGGAATTCTATAGACTTTATCTCAACCAAAGGCTGGGCGTGGTGACAAACTCTTATTATGCCAGTTATGGGGGAAATGTAGCCCAGCTTCCAGAAATTACATGCTTTTATTGCTTTGTTTTGTTTTGATAAGCTCCTTTCTATTCTTAAAACCAGAAACTGCCATTCAAGTCTGTCAGCCACTGATTTCTCTGACCCTGACTGTAATGTTGATTTTCTTGCCGCCTTCTTTTCCATTCACTTGGACCCTTATGAGCACGTTGAGCCTAAGCAGATCATCAAATAATCTTCCCATTTTTCACCCTCAATTCTCCACTCCCCTCAGGCCTAAGCAAGACTAATCTTTTCTATTTTCCTGTTGCAGACATTTACAGACATAGAATCATATACAACCTCCTATAACTGCCCTTGTTCACTTAGGGTAATTTTAGTTTTTACTTTTCCTAGGATCATTCCTCTATTTTGGTTTTTGTTTGTTTGTTTGTTTGTTTTTGATTTTTTTTTGGTCCGGTCGTGGGGCCTGAACTCTGGGCCTGGGTGCTGTCTCTCAGCTCTTCAGCTCAAGGCTAGCACTCTACCACTTGAGCCACAGCGCCACTTCCGGCTTTTTTCTTTTTTCTTTATGTTGGTGTTGAGGAATCGAACCCAGGGCCTCATGCATGCAAGGCAAGCGCTCTACCACTGAGCTACCTTCCCAGCCCCTCTATTTTGGTTTTTTTTTTTAAATTATTGTCAAGGTGACAGAGGTGTTACATAGTGAGTACATTTCTTGTCAAACTTGTTACCTCCTCCCTCATTTTTTTTCTCACTTTCCCTCCCCCAAACCTCACCCTGAGTTGTACAGATCATTTCTAACATATTGTCTTGTGGTTATTGCTGTTGCATTGGTTCCCCCTTTGTCTTTTGTCCCACCATTTTGTGGTTCCCCTTCCCTTCCCTAATTCAGATAAATGTATATACAATACCCAGGGTACCAAAATCAAATACAGTGACAGCAGGGGATAAACCATAGGTTTGTCAGGGGGGAGCGCAAAAGAAAAAAGAAATCACGTAGAACATTAAAAACAGCAACAACATGTGTCCATGTCTTAGAGTTCATTTCACTTAGCATTATCTTATATGGTCATAGGTGCATAGCTATTGAGCTATTCTGCTCATTTGCTAGGATTATCCTAGACATATACTAACTATTACAAATGAGGGCATTTGAGTCTGCTTACTTCACTTAATATGACATGTCATTCCTTCTGATGAAAGCATAGAAATCATATATATATATGTATATATATATGAATGTATATGGTGTGTATATATCTATACACACCACATTTTCTTGATTCATTCATCCTCTGAGGTGCATCTGGGTTGGTTCCAAATTTTAGCTATGGGAAACAATGCTTCAATGAATATAGTTGTGCTGGTAGCTTTAGTAAGGCCTTGTTTGTGGTCATTCGGGTAATGTCCAGGAGTGGGATTGCTAGGTCATAGGGGAGCTCTATGTTTATAAGGATTCTCCAATAACAGTATATATCAATACTTCATTCATTTTTTTACTTAATAACATTGTATTTTATGGATAAACTGTTTTATTTCTTAGCCATTCTAGCTAAAAGTCTGTAAATTTCTGTTGCTTTTTTTTAAGAACCAACTTTTGGTGTTTTTATTTTTCCCTACTTTCTACTTCATTCGTATCAACACTAATCTTTGTTATTTCCTTCCTTATTCAGACTTCCGGTTTACTTTGGTATGTTTTCAATGTCTTAAAGTAGAAGCTTAGGATACTTACTTGAGATTTTTCTTATTTTTTAATATGGGGAATCCATAGCTGAAAATTCAGGAAATTACCCTGCAGTGTGGTTCTTTTTGCTGAAGATTACTTTGGCTATTTGGAGTTGTTTGTGACTTCAAGCAATTTCAAGATCTTTTTTTTTTTTTCCTACTTTTTTGTAAAATGTCATTGGAACTTTTTTAGGAATTATATTAAATCACAGATTGCTTGGATAGAATGGGCATCTTAATATTAATTGCTAATACTGATAACAATTGTTATTTATTTGATTAATTTATTATTTTAAATGCTATTGATGGCAATATTAGTTCTTTCACTACATAAATAGTCTTACACTCTGGGTACAATAGAGCCTGAGGACATAGAGACCTACCTAAGATTGAGGCTGGCCTGATGCTGGGACAGGCATGGAGTCTAGGATTTTAAGTTTTGCCCAGGTACCTGTAGGCTGTGGATGCCATCCTAGAGGCTAGCTTGTGAAATATAGCTTAGGTCCCTGAACAATAGAGATCAGCATGGAATAGCCCTGGAGCTCAGATCATGGTGTCTGATCAGTACCTAGGTCTACCAGGATGGGCCTGGACCCTAGTCCTGTTGGAACTGGCCCACTTCTGTGACATCTGGAGCACCATAGGGATCGGCCTGGAGTGTGGGTCTGTCTTAAAAAGGCCTAGAGCCTTCATCCATGGCTGTCAGCCTGGTATCTGAAGCCAGGGGTACTGACCTGGCACTGTGTGCTGTGTGCTGTGTGATCAGGCAGACTCCCCATGTTTAAGACCAACTGATGATCATATCTAACTCTACCTTCACCTCCAGTTGTTCTTTATAGAAAGTAGTGTATTTACAGGGTCTGAGAGTTATCATATCCAAATCTTTAAAGGCCATTGTTCATGCTATCACTACTCCCAACCACATTGTATCTGGCAAAATATTACACACAACATAACTATCACCACAGGAATTTTTTTAGGCCAAATTGCTTCATGAATCTGTCTCCAGTAAGACAATGAATGTGTGGATTCTAATTCCATAGGGTGCTTTTACTAACTAACATGAGCATTCCAAAAGAGACATTTGGAGTGCTACCATAGTCCTAATTATTACAAACTACAGTGAACAGTTTATCTAATTAGATTTTTTTTAAAAAACAAAACAAATAAAAAACAAACCAGGCTCTCAGTAATGTTAGAGAAAGGAATAATAAAGAGGTAAAATTTTACCCTATCTTTCTTGTGTTTGATAGATTTTTCTGATTCAACAAATATGACAATCTATACTTTGCTACTAATACAAAGAAGTCTCTTTTTCTCTCTCCCTCTCCTCATCCTTCAGGTTTCTGAACTTCAGTGTCCATGAAACAGTAGAAATATGCTCACGAGCTTATTTGTTTATTTATTTTACTTGAACAGATAGGACAATAGTAACCTCAAAGTTGGAGGCCATTATTTCTAAAACACTAGATTTAGAAAGATCCATAAAACCCATTTTAAGCTTAAGCATATTTACTTATGAGTTAATTTTAGATTAGTGCTTCTCACATACACACATATACATATATGAATCATATAATATTGTTCACACTTTGTTAGCAACAATTAGTTATTCAAGGAAATTTCATTTTGACATGTCCATTATGGGTATAATGTATTTTGATCAGGCTCACCCCTTTGTCATTCTCCCTTAACCCTTTCTCCCCTTCCCAAAGTATTCTCACCAAGTATCATTGTTCCATTCTCACACATGCATATAAAGGATTTTGACTATATTCACCTAAGAATTCATTTTAATAAATATTCAGGTTCAATATATTTAGCCAGGGTCTGAAGTTCAAAGAACACTACTTGCCAGTAGTTGTTTCATACAACCCCTGTTATAAGACACATTTATTGCTAGACAATTAGGTTAGAAAAGTTTTTCTTAATAACAAGGAACTCTTTAGAGTACTTAGAATGGAATTTGTGCTATCTATCTATCTATCTCTCTATGCTATGTCATATAGCTATGCTACATGATAAAGATAAAAATGGATGGGGTAAGAAAATCATGGTCCAGACAGAAAGGATAAGGGTCAGGTCAAAGGGAACATAATATGACAAAGTCCTTACACAATCTCATAAATAGAGGCTGGGCAAATCATAACTTTTGGATTCAACAAATGTCCCCCATGTTTTTCTGTATATGAATAAATATCTATTCAACAGTGTCAGTCGCCAATTCCTTCTTATTATTGCCCCTGTGTTTGCTTCCATAAAAAAAAAAAGCTGCTTCCTCAATTTCATCCTTTTCCAGATATGAGCAAATCCTTTAAGACATAATGTCTCTGTTGTTTTTTTAGGAACTATTTTCTTCTAAGGAAGTATATCTCATCTTCTTTGATGCACTCATACCATTTAATTTAAAAATAACAGGGCTGCTTCATTGTTACTATGGGCAAATTTCTCTGTTTCTGTCTTTGGGTTAAATCCAACTACTCCAAGGACAAATGTTTTAAGATTACTAGTGAAGAACCAGAATTTTCTGACAAGGCAGAGAAAAAATTGAAGGTAGATAAACCATTCCAACTATTTTGCTGTATACTAAAGGAAAAATGTGTGTGTGTGTATCATATGATATCTGTGTGTGTCTGTGTGTGTACTGAGGTCAGCAGAAGCAGACCTCTCTCCGGATATAAAATATCTGTAACCTTAGAATACATTCACAAAGGAGAAGCTTGGTTTCAAACTTGAAATATAGGAAAAGAAACCCATCTCATTAGCTATCAATTTCTCAGTAAAAATGTTGCAGTTTTTACTTATGGAAAACTACAGTTTTCTTCTCGTGGACCAGGAGAAAGAATATATTTTTCTTTTGTTTTGGTTTGTTTTTAACTGTGTCAAATGTTCCTCGAATCCCCTATCTCTTTCTCTTGACCCCTCCTTTGACCCATTCCCCGGTATCTGCCTCCCTGGAGTAATTTCTGGGATGGCGATTGGGCGGCTGCAGAAATGGGGATTCAGTTCTCTGGCCCTAGGCTAGGCTGGAACTAGTGGGTGGGACTCAAAGCAGCCAGTATTCCACAAGCAGACTTGCAAGAGGCTTTACACACTTTCCAGGGCTACACCCCCAAGCAGGAGGCAGCCGGCAGCCTAGAGAGCAACCCCAAACCAAGGACACCTGCTGCGGGGGACGCTGCCTGCAGCCCAGTGATCCGGGCCTGGCGTGACCTCGCTATGGTGGGTTTGGCCACTACTTTCCTTTTCGATGCAGAGAAGGGGAAAACAGGTCTAAGGCGGCTGGGAAAGGAACCACAAGGGATCCTCTAGGGTCATCTTAAGGAGCAATGCCCAAAGACTCAGAAACCTAGGCCAGGACTGATTTTCTTGGGCATTGGGAGCAATGGGCTCTCCCTGGTACGCCGCGTCCTGCCCAGCCTGTTGAGCTGGCTGGCCAAAGTGAGCAAGGGGCTGCGGGTGCCCAGGTGCATTCGCGCGGGGACCCACAGGTACCACCGCAGGGTCGTCCCAGCCTCCCACCTTGGCGCGCCGCTGACTCCCTCTTTCTGCCTTCACAGTGCGATTTCGCAAAGCGTGCCTTGGAGCTGCCGGCTATCTGGGAACGCATTCTGGAGGTCTGGGAAGCCATTGAGTAAGTAGGTGCGGGGCATTTCTGACGATCGCGGTACCCCCCAGCGAGGCAGCCCCTCTCCCCGGCCTTTGGCTGGGCTCCTTCATCTTCCCATCCTGGGAAGAAGCTGTCCCAACGATTCCAGCTGCTCAGCACCGGGGAGAGCAGGGGCGCGGTTCCCACGCTGCAGAGAAGCTGGGGGGCCCCCCCGAGGGCGGAGCAGGGACACAGAGGCTGCGCCCCGCGAGGCCGCGCCTTGAGAACGTGCGGGGTGCGCAGGGCTGCAGGACTCCCACATTGGGCGTCAAGCTCCTGGAGCCCACCAGCTCAGCTCAGCGCCACGGCTTCTCTTCTCGCTCCAGTGCACCCAGGGACCTTGGAGCCCGCCAGGCGGGTGGCCGCGCCTGGGTTTGACTTCGTCCTGTGTGCTGCCAGGGGTGGGTAAGCAATTCGCCCTTCCCCAGTGCAGAGCCCAGCCGTGGTCTCTGGATGGCCCGGAGAAGAGTAGCCTGAAAACTTCCAGCCTGCTGCTGGGGTGTCTGCAAAGTGGGGGAGCGCGCGCGTCACTTTACTAGCCTGGTTTCTGTGTTGATTTCGACTGCTGGCATTATGGATGATGGGGAACAGGGCTTCCTCACCTTCCCCACACCTCTTGTGTGCATGCACAGCCTGTGCCCTGTCCGAGGAGCTATCTCTAGATGGCATTTGTGTGAAGGACAGCCTGGCAGTGTGGTCATGTGACTCCAGGCTGTGGCTTCCCTGAGCCTTTCCTTTGCTCCCTGGTTTTCTCATGGTCGCTCCTTCATTTTGCTTTTGATAAACAGTTTACATCTCCTGAAGGAAGACAGAAGTGAAGCAGCCCTCCTACGTGACTACTTGTAGGCATCTTGGTTTCCAACGTCTTAAATCCCCGCTAGCTCTAAGGATAGATTTTTTTTTCATTAGAATTTTATTTGTAATTTATTGATAGTGATTCCTTAGGATCGGTCTTTTAGTTGTGATTTCATTAAATGTCTCTATACGTCTAAACTGTTAACTTCCCTGTTACTTAACACACCAACACTGAAGTGCTTAATTATAAGAATTTTTGTAACTTGGTTCAGAAGGTAGAAGTAATCTGCTGCTTTTCCTAAAGAGGTTATGCATCGATTTTCTTCAGGAGTCATCAGTTCTACAACTCTTTTATGAAGGGTGGTAGAAATCAATGGTAGCCAACAATACAGAAAGGTCTAGCGTTACAAAGCAAAGTTTACTTGTCAAGATACAGTGAGTGTGTTATCTGTGGAGTTAAAAATGACAGGTCTGTGGATCTGCTTCAGAGGTCTTGAACTCAAAGGTGGAATTGCTCCTGATTTAGAGTGACAGAAGAGCGTCCCCAGATAGAGAAAAGAGAGCTGTGATCCAGTAGTAGTGTGCAGTTAAAAGTATGTAATCCACACTTTCTTCTCAAAACAACAGGCTCTCCGCATGAGGTTTGCTGTTTTAGACTCGTAGGAAAACTTCTAAAATTATGTTACAATAATTAAACATTTTCTATAAAAAGATTTATTTGTATGTTTTAAAGTGTGTCAGTTACCAAAGTAAGTTCTGTGGAACTAGTGGAAATTTGTAATGGATAGATGGATGGATATCTTCTTTTTTATATACTGTAAGATCTTTTTAGAATATGACAAAATAAAAATAATTTTCCTGAAATATAAAGTACTTGTACTGGGCACAATGTTTCTAGAGAACAGGATACAAAAGATCCCATGTTTGTATATATTCAGATATAAAATAACTTTATTAAGGTGGGTTTCTGTCTTTTGAGAACAAGGAAAGATTGCAGTTATTTGATTTACATCTGGTAGCCTAAAAATAAAGAAAAGTGTAAAAAACTTCAAAATACTGTGTTGAAACTCCTTACCACGTCTTACTTAATCAACAACACAAACATATTATTATGAATAATATATCAATAAGCTATTTGGGAAACAAAGTATAGATTTTTTCATATATATTTTCTCAGACTTTCAAAATCTTGTCTTTTAACTATTATTACTTTTATTGACCCAGTAGAATATGTGTACATTTGAATTTTGCCAAAAACCATACAAAGAATTAATCTATATTTTCATTTGCTAACAACGCATACGAAGGAGTTTGTTTACAGGATAGTTTAAGTTAGTATAATAGGTATCCACCCAAACCCCAAATTACTCTTTTTTCCAAGTAGATAAATAGGCAGTATTAGGAATGAATATCTGCCTGTGAGAAGAAATGGAAAGGTACAGTAACATTTAGATAAAACAAGCCCTGAAATGCTATTAGTGTGAAACCTTTTAAGAAATGTGATGGAGCTAATCTCTATGTCAGATTCACTTGGAAATTGCTTGGCTTTTCTTCTCTAGTGTAGGATATTTAACTTTTTATGGTTCTGTTTTTTTGTTTGGTTTTGTTTGTTTTCTCATGCCTGTACTAGGGATGAAACTCAGGGCCTCACACTTTTGCATGACTTTTTCACTCAAGGCTGGTGTTTTACCAATACTTCCAGGTTTTAGCTCATTTTATTGGTGGTAAGAATCTCAGGGACTTTCATCCAGGCTATCTTCAATCCTTGCTCAGATCTCAGCCTGCTGAGTAGCTAGGATTACAGGAGTGAGCCACCAATGTGTGGCTATGGCATTGTTTTCATGTCACTCAATTAGAAATATTTGTCCAAGTAAGTTTTATTCTTTCACACTTCAGAGAAACATTTGTATGGGGGGGAAAGGGAGTATCCAGGGGCTTGAACACAGGACCTGGACATGGTCCCTGAGCTTTTTTTCCTCAAGGTTAGTGCTCTACCACTTGAGCCACATTTCTACTTCCGGTTTTTTTTATTGTTAGGAGTTTTATGGACTTCCTGCCCAAGCTGGCTTTGAACCTTGATCCTCACATCTCAACCTCCTAAGAAGCTAGGAATCCAAGCATGAGCTACCAGCCTCGGCTAGAAACGTTTAGTTTTTGTTTAACACTACTAATTACAATGCTGTCCCTTCCTGGTTCATCTTCCTAGTACTGAATAATTTGTTTTGAGTGTCTCCATGTTGACCTGATACAAAAAGAGCTTTTTGACAATTTTTAATCCTTTTCTTGAGCCAATTTCTTTGCCCATAAAGGAGTTAATTGATTACTGGGGGTGGAGTAATTTTTTGGCCATATTAAATCATACTTTTTTTCATGGGCAGTTTTGAAATACCTTGTCTGTTTTGTTTTTATTTCCTCTCCACTGGGTTCAGGCCCAGTAGATTTCATCTTCCTGTAGCCTGAGGGTCAGTAGGAAGAGGCTTAAAGTATATGAGCAAATTTAATTTAGAATTGATTGCAGGGGTCTCTGGCCAGCTTCTCTATAAGCCCACAGAGTACTACCTTTTAAAACTGAAAAGGCTCTGGGGCGTGGTCTGCCTTTCCACGGAAGCGAGACTCGTTGCTTATAGTTTCTGGCCTCTCTTACCTGGCATGCATTCTTACCTCTAATAAAATATGCATGTCAACATACTCTCCTATTTTTATAAAAGTAAAACCAAGTCTAACTCATATACCAACTCCAGGGTCTCACCATGCATGAGAAGAATGATCAGGAAGTTGAGGCCAAACAATGGCCTTAGAAATTAACTCTCCAGGAAAAGGAAGGGGGACTCACTTCCCAATCCCGAATACTTCCTCTACGTTCACCCTATCTTCCTAGCCTCTTGCATGATGCCACATTACATTAGCAGTGCCTACTTAAAAGTCCACTTTTCCTGCTAATTTTAGATCTCTGTCTCTCTCTCTGTGTCTCTCCCTGTGTACCACCCCACTCCCCCCTCCTCCAGTTCTCATTCTCCACCCTGGGACTCACCTTGATGGAAATGGAATGACACAGTAGGTGTCTAAGCTAATTATAGTTGTCCTTTTTTATCACGACCTTAAGGACTTTTGTGCCTTGATGCTGTAAGTTATCTCTATGACGTAAAGGACAGCACTTGTTTGGCAAGTGCCTTGCATGGAATATTTTGGTGTTGGCACTCCAGTGCTATTCTCTGACAGAGTTTGAAGCCTGTTCAGCCCTGCTTGGAAACTGGTGTTTCAGTCACTGATTATTTACAACCACTATTTTTTGTTCCTCTCTTTCCATTTCCAGTGCATACTGACCTATCAAATATTCCTCCTTTCTTGACAATCTAAAATTACAGTTTTCTTTCTGCCCTTTGACAGGTCATGGATGTTCAGTATTGGAATGCTATGAGTTTTCAGGATTTCATTCAGCATGAGCAAACCAGTGTAAGGTTTGACTTCCAAATATTTGACTCTATGTCCTGTCTTCAGATACTCTTCAACCCTTGGGCCTTTTCAGCAGTTTGGAGCTCCAGTGAAACTATCCAAAACTCTGATATTCTTCCTTGACAACAGTCTTCTGTTCTTCCAATATATCACTAACTCACTGCCATTAGCACCCTCTTCTCTCTTTATTTGACTACCCTCATTTTATAACATTCCTTTCTTTATCACATTCATTTTGGGCAGTAATTTCAAGTCCATCTAACCCCAGGTTTCTTTTTCGGCACATCAGACCCATTCTTCCCAACCTTAGCCGCAGCTGGATAAAATGATACAACTTTGTCCTTTCCTCGGTGACAAATAAGTCACCTCCAACTACAGTTTAAGGGCTAATTCATAGGGTTATAAAGTTATTGCTTTTTTCCTTCTAGTCATTCTGTATAAAATTCTGCATAGTAAATATTCTGGACATTTATTAGTTAATTAGTCTGTTCATAATCTTAGTACATGATCTGTGTATCCTAATTCAAATTAGGAATGTTCAGGTCAATTTCTCTTTCTGGAATGCTTGTACAAAATTCTTTCACATGTAATAATTCCTGTAGACTTTAATAATAATATGCAGTTACTTCACCCATTTTGTTTCTGTGTGTGTGTGTGTGTGTGTGTGTGTGTGTGTGTGTGTGCACATACACGTGTGTATGTTCCAGTCCTGATGCTTGAACTTGGGGCCTGGTCTG